TTTTCCCTTTTAATGCATAAAAGTATCCCTTTCATGTTATAAAACAGTAGGGTTTTTTTTTGTTTTTTATAAATTGCCATAAACTTGATATTATACTCCATTAGGTACATCTTAACCACCACTCACCGCCATCTCCAACACACCAAGATGATCCACCACAAACACTCCTCTCAAACTTCATATCCAGTTAAGGTTTGTGTTTCAGGTACATCCTAACAACCACTCACTACCATCTCCGGTTATAAGTTCATGTCTTTGTCTTCTGGATCTTTATAAATAAAGAAAAACCATTGATTTAAGGTGTATCCAGAGGTTTTTTTTTCTAATTTTGTTTTTGATGATGAAGTTCAAATAGATAAAACCGCAAAGGATTGAAAGGGAACCATGTAGAGGTTTGATGATTTTTGATTTACATTCTTTTCTATTTTAATAATACTATGATAATAATTCTCTATTTTTGCTGATTAGCGACAAATTATGAGATAATTAGTTGTATTTTCTTGCAGATCGATAGGAAATACGTCTTTTCAATAAGTTATTGGTAGTTACAAAGGTATCATGATGAACTTTGCAATCTTTTACCGATTTTATGTTAAATTTTCTTGATTTGGGTTCATGCTTATCTTAAGACTGTTTATGTTGTTTGATTTCTGAATCCCATGTACACAATCATAGTTTTTGTCTTAAAACACGCTTAACCTCTTCATTTGAATCAATTTGGTATATTTATTCGCACGTACACTGGATAAAGTATGGGATGTGTTATTGTACTTTGATTTCTCTGCACCTAACATAAACAGCTAATGATTGCAATCTACTTCAACTTTATTTCTATTTTAAGCATCATATTTTTGGATTCAACCAATTATAACATCCTACTTTTTTGAACTACCAAAGAACAAAAAAAAATTCGAGTCGTGCAACAGCATGGCCTTTTCAGTAGTACTAGTATATATAAAGAGAAACTAAATATCCTTCTACCTTTTGATCCTACCAATCCTCCTACCCATTTAAATGATGCCATGTGTTATATTAGTATACTAAAATATCATTAAATCTCATTAAATGAACATTAAATGTTACACATGTCACAATTTCATTGGGTAGGAGGATATGTAGGAACAAAAAGTAGGAAGATATTTAATTTCTCACTTATAAATTTAGAACTACATGATGAATAGTTCTTGCTCCTTATTGGACCACTTTTATTTTTTTATTATTTTTTAATCAATGTTTGGTACCAGTTGTAGAACTACGTGTCTTATTATGTGGTATGCCTCCCATTGCTTCCAATTAGATACGTCCACCAAATCATATACTAGATCTTTGCCCACTGCCCAATCTTATCGAATAACTTTCTATCCTTTATCACACCTGACCGTACGTCTCCACCGTTGCATTCTAGCTCTCCCTTCTTCCTTTTCCGATTCCGATCAGACATTACTTTTTTCCAGATATCTCCACGCCGGAGAGTGCAGCGTCAATTTTGATTGCTTTCTTGATCACTGTGACTGACTTGCAGGAGGAGCAAGAGTCACCGTCAGAGTCTTCTCATTTCAACTTTTACACTTTCATATGTGCTTTCAATCGGAGATGGCGGGCAGACAAGGCAACAAAATTCTCGCACCTGCATATCTGCATACCATTGTTGCATCGTTGTCCAAAATCAGCCACAAACTGAGTATTATAGTGTGTCATTTGTTATTTATTGTGCGCCTTTTAGACGGAGCTCTATCCCTGTCTGTCTCCCAGTCAAAAAAAGTTGTCACCACCTCCTTCGTTCTCCATACTTCGTTTTTATTCACTACATGTGGGAATCTCCTGCTTTCACTCACTACATGTTCGATGAAACGCCACATAGGTATTAAGAAAAAAATATTTTTATGCTCAGTTTTGTAGTTGTGTGGTTGATTTTAAATCATAAGTGTTTGGCTTCTTTGCTTCTTGATTTATGTCAGATTAGACCCAACATATGAATGATAAGAACTCATGTGGATATTCTTCCTGATTTGATCCTAGATTTTGGATGAAAGCTTTGTTTGGTATGATCTCTTAACCCTTGCTAACTTTTGTTTTCCAAATTGATTAATTAATTGCCTGTAACATATAGAAAAAAAAAACGATTTTGTATAGAATAGTGCTCATGTTCCTTGTATTCTCAAGATTAGAGACTAACTATATATATGCCATAAAAAAGAGTTGACAACTTCTTATGGGGTAAGTTAGTTTTGCACATGTATTTGCCCTCATATTTTATTATTCATGGTTGTTAATATAAGATTAGAACATAAGGTCTTCAGAGCAAAAGAAACAGAATTAAGATTTGAGTTGTTAGCAACAATTAATCATATGAAGAAACACTCCTATATGGGCTGGAATCTGACCTTAAATTTATTGATGTTTTCATTCACCACCTGTGGCTACATAACACTCTTATGGTGGGGAGTTCGTTTTATGTGATAAATGTCCATCTTCGTTTCACACACATTGCCTAGGATTAAAGGTGAATATTTTTGATTCTTTAAAGAACGTATTTTTAATACTAAAATTAGAGTTTATACTTTATTATATTAATTTTTGTGATTTCCTTTGTTTGTTTAGGAGGTCCTGGATGGTGAAGGGAGTTGTTAATGAAGAAGTGAAACATATATTTGAAATGCTAAGTATGCATGACAAGGGGTAAAAGGGTAATTTTTTTAAGCTTTCCCGAAACAAGAAAAAAATGCCATTTCTTGATTCTTAAAGATTCAAATTTCAATTTGTATTAGGCAAAACGGGCAAAGGTGGTTACCCGAAGGCCAAACGTTGCCAACTGTCAGTTGGGCATCCGGAAACTTTGACAACTGAGCCCGACATTGTGGCGGCGATAAGGTGGTTCAAGTCATTCATGTCTTTTTTACATTTTAGATTCAAATTTTGGGTTTAAAGATCTTTGATATTTTAGGTTTAAATTCATAATAATTATCGAATATATGTTTATTTTGTGTTATTTGTATCTATTAAATAGGCCGAAGGGTAAAATAGTCATTCATTCAGGTTTATATAGTATTGCTGGTAGATATTGGTTCCAAAACAGACAAACATACAAACCTAATAATAACATTGGATTGAAAAGAAATTGGTAATTTTGAATGGAAACCAAAAATTTTAAAATATTTTTGACCCAAAAACAAAATCAAACATAATTAATCCCTAATTTTATTTGGCCCCAATTCAAGTATTTATTTTTATTTGTTCAAACCTGTCACCTCCATTAGCATGCTAACCAATACAAATTGTTACTCGTAATGTTTTTTCACGCTGGACTCATTTGCATTTCACTAGTAAATCTACAATGTACAACAACATTAAAAGTCCTCCTGACCTTTTTGAATGGGAAATGGATCATGAACTTAAGTGTGTTTTTTATTTATTTATATATATATATATATATATATATATATATATATATATATATATATATATATATATATATATTTTTAGTTTATGAACTTAAGTTTAGTAATTTGTATAATTTTTATACTAGCTATTGATTAAATTGGTTTATTTGGTACATTAAGAGTACTAAACATTTTTAAGTTAATATGTTTTATTGCCAAAAAAAGAAAAAGAAAAATTGTAGTGTTTGACTTTTAAATTACTGTTTTGATGTTCATGGTTGGCATCCCTTTGGCTATTACTGTTAATAAGCATCTATAATTGACTGTCTTCCAACCGCGCAACGCGAGAAATCTTTCCTAGTTTGTCCTAAAGTAGCATTGCCTCTATAGTATATAACATGTATTTTTTTTCTTCCAAATAAAATATGCTTATATGAAAATCATTTAACAATGTATCTTTTTTAATTAAAGTTTATTATAAAATAATACTTTTTTTATTTATCAATTTACACTACATATGTTTATATTTACTAAAAAAAACAAACTAATTTCATTCTTTCGAACTAATTAAACATGCCAAAGAAAGAGGTGTTAGGGAGTGTTGATTTAAATGATTTAAACACTTATTTTTATCAGCTTTATTAGGTTATAATGGTATAAAAATGAAGTTTTTAAAAGAATGTTATGGGAACTTTCGATAAATTTGAGATAATTAACTTTATGTCTAAGTTATTAAAAAAAATACATATCCAAACATTTAGACTAAGAGGAGTGAGAGTCTTAAAAAGGCTCCCCTTGCTAAGAGTGCTTGAACACTGCCTCCTAGCACTGGCTACTGCCCTTTCCTCACCATTTTGGTGAGATGAGAGAGTACGTGAGTGTAATTTGATTGGTTCATAGGCATTTGACCATATTGCTTATATATTGACCTAATTTATTATTTATGGAGTCTTTGAATTGTTACAACTACCATCAAATGTTAAAAAAGTACGTGCTAAATAGAGAAAAATAACAAGGCCTAAACGACTCCCCTTAACCTTATTATATAGTCATCAGGTTGGGATGGATACTAACAACCTTATTATAGTCGTACGATGTTTTATTCCATCCCATTCATGTTACGACCGAAACAAACAAAGACCATTGATTTTAGACAAAATTCTGATTTTTTTATTAGACTATTAAACGTTGGTAAATAATCCAAGATTAGATTTGTGGTTTACTCTTATTTAGATGTATACGATAGCAAAATGACGTTAACGTCTAGATACGTATTTTCAACTAAACTTATCCTCAGACCTCAATATTCAAACAAATGCCGGTCTATCACTTCCCGTTGACCCGGAGCTAATACACGTACACAGTTGATGTTTCCACTCCTATACACTCATGCTTTACAACTTTGTAACTTGTTCAACAAAGAGAGTATTTTATTTTGGATTTGAATAAAAAAATCCCCACATTAAACGATTTAAATCCATTTATAATCACACCCCTTAATTTCTACAATAAAATCAAATTAAACCCGCCGGAAACCACCATGGCCACCACTCGAACTTCACCTCTGTTAATGTTATCGATCTTCTTCATACTCAATTCCATTCCAATCCCATCATCCTCATGTCCAATTCATCAAAAAAAGCTCTACTCCACTTCAAATCCACCCTCACCACCACCCTCAATTCCAGTTCCCTCCTAGAATCATGGAATCCCAATTCCGACTGTTGTTCTTGGGACCTCGTCAATTGCAGTAGAACCAAAACAAGAACTGTAACCGAGCTCCACTTATCCGACATCGTCCCTACATTCACTCCAGTTCCGGTGTTCTCAAACATCTTAACCCCGCTTTTCCAAATCCGGACATTGAAATTACTTGATATCTCCATGAATTGGTTGCGAGGGGAGATCCCCGGAGATGGATTTGCGAATCTCACTGAACTGGTTCACCTTGACATGATGCAGAATAGCTTCAATGGCTCCATCCCAGACCAATTTTTCCGGTTAAAGAATCTCCGTTACTTGGACATGAGCGAGAATAGGCTTGAAGGTGGACTACAATCCGAACTGGGTTCTTTCCCGAATTTGACAACACTAAAGTTAAGTTTGAATCGTTTCGAGGGTTCAATTCCTCCTCAAATTTTCGAACTTGAATCTCTACAGGTTCTTAACCTAAGTAACAATATTCTTCAGGGTGTTTTAAGTAGTCGCCTTTCTGGGTTAAAGAATTTACGTTACTTGGACTTGAACAGCAATTCGTTACAGGGGATGTTAGGACCTGAATTGGGGTCTTTTCGGAATTTGATTTCACTAAGGTTAAGTTCAAACCTTTTCCATGGTTCAATTCCTTCCGAACTTTTTGAACTCGAATTTCTTCAGATTCTTGATCTTAGTAACAATACTCTCAAAGGTGTTTTAAGCCCTAAAGTTGGTAACCTTCGAAATCTTGAATCATTGAAGCTGAATGATAATTTTCTATCCGGAAACATCCCGGAAGAGGTTGGAAATCTAACCAAACTAAGGGAATTTTCGGTTGGAAAGAATCATTTCTTCGGCGGAATCCCATCTTCGATTGAAAACATCAAGGGACTCGAATCACTGGACTTATCTGAAAATTCATTCTCCATGGAAATTCCGGCGAGCATTGGAAAACTACCCAACATGATCTTACTTGATCTGAGCAAGAACCAGTTCCCAGGTCCTATACCACCATCGATTCGAAACTTGAGCAAGTTAGAAACCCTTCGGCTACACAACAATAACCTAGCAGGCGAAATCCCTACATGGTTATTCGAGATCAAAACTTTAAAGAATTTGTTCATTGGAGGAAAAGAAAGCAACTTGATTTGGAAGAACAAAGCAAAGATCGTTCCAAGATTTAGTCTAGAACAGCTCTCCATGTCATCTTGTGGAATTTCCGGTGAGATTCCTGAATGGATTTCTTCACAGAAAGATTTGATTTTTCTTGATTTGAGTGAGAATCAATTGGAGGGAGGATTTCCAGATTGGCTCGCGGAAATGGAATTTGAAGGTATAGTCCTTTCAGATAACAACCTCGCCGGACCTCTCCCACCTCGTTTATTTGAATCCATGAGTTTATTGATCCTTGCTTTATCCCGGAATAACTTCTCTGGTGAATTGCCGGAAAATATAGGCAACGCTAAAGGGATCATGGTTCTTATGTTGTCAGATAACAATTTCTCCGGTCAGATTCCTAAGTCCATGGCTAGCATTTTCTTGCTAATGCTTCTGGATTTGTCCAAAAACAAATTTTCCGGCGACAGTTTTCCTATTTTTAGAGATACCCGTCATCTTGTTTACGTAGACCTGTCCTACAACGATTTCTCCGGCAAGATTCCGATGAATTTCTCATTAGATACCCGGATTCTTTCTTTTGGTGGTAATAGATTTTCCGGCGATCTACCCAGAACTTTGACTAAATTTGTCAACCTCGAACATCTTGATCTTCATGACAATGAAATTACTGGAAATTTTCAAGATATCCTCCCTCAAATCCCAACCCTTCAAGTCATAAGCTTAAGAAACAATTCCGTTGAAGGATTTATCCCGAGAACAATCTCCAATATTACTTCTCTTCGGATTCTTGATCTTTCCGGGAACAACCTAATCGGAAGCATTCCACCGGAAATTGCAAACCTTTCAAGCATGATTAAGACTCCGCAAATGTCAACATCTGATTACATTCTCCCATCTTACGTTACCAACGTTGACATTTTCAATAACGTCATTGAGTTTCAGGATTTGATTGTGAACTGGAAGAAATCTTTTCAAGGTCTTGCAAGTCGCAACCTTGATATCTACTCGTTATTGGACTTATCTGAAAACCAGATATCAGGTGAAATTCCGGCGTCGTTAGGCAATCTCAAAAGCCTGAAAGTGCTCAACGTTTCACACAACAGGATCTCCGGGCAAATTCCGGTGTCTTTTGGGGATCTGAGGGATGTAGAAAGCTTGGATTTTTCATACAATGAACTCTCGGGTTTGATTCCTCAAACACTATCGAAGCTTGACCAACTCACAATTCTAGATGTGAGCAACAACAGGCTGACAGGTAAGATTCCGATGGGTGGGCAAATGGACACGATGAATGAGTTGGATTATTTTCAAAACAACAATGGATTATGCGGGATGCAGATTGGGATCATATGTCCTGAGGATATCCCACCACCTGAAGAAAGAGAGGAGGAAGATGATAAAGAGTTATGGTTTTTGTGGGAGGGGACTTGGATTGGTTTTCCTATTGGATTCTTCTCATCGATTTTGGTCATGGGCTACTTTCTGAATTTTTTAAATTTCTTCAAATTTTGGTGAATTTCTTTTAGCAATGTTTAGATCTTTGTTCAGTAATATATCATAGAATCTAGGATTTCTTATTATTTGTAATCAAGATTCAGAATTCCATAAGTTTAATCCATATATATAGCTATACTGTGAAAAATTTACCTTACATTTACTTTAAGTAACACTAGAATATCATGATTCAGACCCAACCTGCATTAATTTGATTCTTTACGCCCCTTACTATCACTCTAAAACTTGATAACGCCACATTGACCTTCATCCAAATAGCATTATTTTATAGCATAAATTAAACATTTCAAATCACTTACATAGTTTTGATCAAGTCAAAATTAAAGATTTATTTTTTTCAAAATGAAGTTGCGAAATAAATAAATCATTCAGTTTGAAACCAAACACACCTATGATATCTCTTTCAAAAAAACACACCTATTATATTTCAAATGGGGAACATTGGTTAAATAGAAAGAAAGAGTGAATAAGCGAGTATCCTTGATGTGTACAATATTGAAATATCATACCCAAATTTGATGGAAAACGTAGGTTACAAAATCCTATGCACTAAGCGGAAAACATTTGACAATTAAAAGATTATGGCACATGCAACCTATGAAGGATCTATGTCTTTCATGTAAAAGCAATATACTATGAACTATTATCAGTCAAATGTAATTTTGTATGTTTGTGTTCATGTAACTCTTTTATAGGGTCTCTTATGTAAATTTGTTTTCTATATAATCAATTGTCTCCTCCCGTTTTGGGCAGTGAGTCATTTTATTACATGGTATCAGAGAGAAACATAAATCCCTCTCTTTTCACATTCCTCTTCTGCCGCTGCTAATCTCCTCCTCTCCTTTTCAGTTTAATCCTTTCTTCTCCCAATGTCTTCCTCATCTTCTTCCGATCACACCATCACCTTGAATTCAATCCTTCATCTTCTCACAATTAAACTATCATCCTCTAATTACCTATTACGGAAAAATCAAATCTCACATCTTCTCTCCTATCACAACCTGTTTGATCATGTTGATGGGCCATCTACCCCTCCTAACCCTATGCTTATGGTTACAAAAAACATGGCTCCAAATCCAGATTATTCCACTTGGATGTCAGCAGATCAACGTGTCATAATCCTCATTCAGGCCTCGCTAACCGAGGAGGCTTTCTCGGAGATTGTGGATCTTTCCACCGCGAGAGAGATTTGGCTTGCACTCGAACGAGCATACGGAAACTCATCCATGGAACGAGTGCAAACTCTACGTGATCAGTTACGCCATTTAACTAAAGGTACATCCACGCTTTCAGATTTTGGAAGAAAACTTAAAGCAATCTACGATCAACTCACTGCAATCGGTCACCCGGTTGATGAAACTGATAAAACTCATTGGTTTTTATGCGATCTTGGTGCTTCATTTGATACCTTCTCCACTGCTATTCGTGCCTCCCGGATGCCTTCTGTTTTCCGTGATCTTTTAGCACAGGCTGAGGGCCATGAACTGTTTTTGCGGACTATACACAACAATGATACTCAGCCTCCGGTTGCTTTCTCCGCTCAACAACATCAGTCTGCTACCTTCCCTTATGCACCTCCAACATATTCGGCTCCTTCTGGATATCGTGGTCGTGGTTATCGTGGCTCTCGTGGGGGGGGGGGGCGTGGACGTGGTCGTCGACCACCACATTGTCAGCTATGTCGCACTAACGGTCATTTTGCATCTTCATGCCCTCGTCTTGCTTCTTTTGTTGTCTCTCCACCACCCAATGACACGGATCTTGCCAGGGCTTTCAATGCTCGGTGCTCTATTCATCCTTCACGTCCCGATTGGTATGTTGATTCGGGTGCTACCGATCACATGGTTTCATCTCCCGGATCTGTGCACAAAACCGAGCCCATTAGTAGTAGAGAAGCATCTGTTATGTTTGGTAATGGTAATTAATTACCTATTTCTTCTATTGGGACATCTTCGATCGCTAATGGTCTTCTCTTACGCGATGTGTTGGTGGTTCCCCATCTTACGAAAAATTTATTATCTATTAGTAAGCTAACTCATGATAATGATGTGGATGTGGTATTTTCCAAATCTTCATTTTTTATTCAGGACCGCATGAAGAAACATGTGCTAGCTCAAGGGCGATGTGAAGATGGTCTCTATATTCTCATGTCCTCTCCACCATCATCTGCGTTTTTTGTGCAGTCTAGGCCACAAGACTCGTATGAACGTTGGCACTTGCGATTGGGACATATTTCTTTTGATATAATTACAATGTTAAATAAATTGGGACATTTATCAGTTTCATCCATTTTGCCAAAACCAGTTTCATGTTCTCCGTGCCAACTTGCTAAGTCTCACCGACTTCCGTTTGTGGAAAATCCTAAACGGGCGTCACATATTTTAGACTTGATTCATTGTGACCTTTGGGGTCCGTCACCAGTTTCTTCCGATGATGGATATCGTTATTATGTCATGTTTATGGATGATTTTTCTCGGTTTACGTGGTTTTACCCACTCAAAGTCAAATCTGATTTCTCCACGGTTTTTGATACGTTTATTAAATTCGTTCAGACACAATTTGATACCAAAATCAAGATTTTTCAAAGCGATGGTGGGACCAAATTTTTAAACCACAAAGTTAAAAAATTACTTACTGAAAATGGCACGTTTCATCAAATATCATGTCTCTATACTCCGCAACAAAACGGTCGTGCGGAGCGTAAGCACTGTCATATTGTGGAAAATGGGGCTTGAAATGATGTTCAATGCTCATATTCCACCATCTTATTGGGTGAATATATTTAGCACTGCGGTTTATATTATCAATCGTCTGCCTACAAGAGTATTGGCTTACCGCTCCCCCTTTGAGCTTTTATTCAAACGGACTCCATCCTACATGAATTTCCGGCCACTTGGATGTCGTGTTTATCCCTACTTACGAGATTATTCTAATCACAAGGTTTCACCATGCATCATCCCGTTCATTTTTTTGGGTTATCATGCTCAATACAAAGGATATAAATGTCTTGATCCGGTCACTTCTCGGATATTCATAACACGACATGCACGTTTCGATGAGGATACCTTCCCTTTTGGCACCCACAATGCTCCTGCACCTCTCACTCAATTATCCATACACTTGTTCTTTGATGACTATCCTATCAAAACCCCACACCCTATCACCCCACCACCTGTGGTGTCATCATCTCAGCCCCCACCTACTGTGCCATGCACCTTGTGTATGCCTCTAGCCCATACACCTTGCTCCAATCCTCAACCACCCCAACCTATCAATACGCCTTCGCCCCAACCTGACGACACCGACTTCATCAGCTCACCACAATCGACTTCATCTAAAGACAGCCTTTTGACCAACCCTCATCCTAGCTCGTCGTCCTCTTTGACTTCACCCCATAGCCCTCCTTCACCTCCTACCCATGGGCATCCCATGATCACACGAGCCAATGCTAGGATTTTTAAACCTAAGCATCGTGTAGACATCTCCTATGTGTACGATCAACCGTTACCCACGACTCTCTTTGACTCTCGGGATCCCACACACCATTATGAAGCCATGGGCACCACCGAGTGGTTACGGGCCATGCAATCTGAAATGAAAGCTCTTCATTTAAATCAAATATGGATGCTGGTTCCACCACCTGTCGAGCATAATATTGTGGGTTGTAAATGGTTGTTTCGTACAAAATTTCGTGCTGATGGTTCTATTGAAAGATACAAGGTGGGCTTAGTTGCACAGGGATACAGTCAAGTTCATGGTCTTGATTTTTCCCACACTTTCAGTCCAGTGGTCAAAGCATCTACTATTCGTGTGGTATTATCCATGGCAGTCATCAATAATTGGCCCCTACACCAGCTTGATGTTAATAATGCCTTTCTCCATGGCACATTGAGTGATACTATCTACATGCAACAACCGCCAGGCTTTGTTGATCCTCATCATCCAACCTATGTCTGCCTCCTACACAAAGCAATCTATGGTCTCAAACAATCTCCGAGGGCATGGTTTCATCGTCTTATCTCATTTCTTCTCACCAATAGGTTCACGTGTAGTCGAGCTGATCCTTCATTGTTTATCTTTAAGCGTGATGATTCTATCTTATATTTACTTGTTTATGTTGATGATCTCATCCTCACAGGTAATCGCCATGATCTTATTCAATCGTTCATTGAAAAATTGGATCATGAGTTCAAAATCAAAGATCTAGGCAAGCTAAACTACTTCCTTGGACTTGAGGTTCTCCACACGGATTCAGGCCTATTCCTTGGTCAGTCCAAATATGCTCATGATATTGTTTCACGTGTTGGGCTTCTTGATTCTAAACCTGTTTCAACACCTTTATCTTCTGCAACACCTCTTGTTCTTAATGGTCCAAGTTATGATAATCCCAGCCATTATCGGTCACTTGTAGGTGCCCTTCAATACTTAACGATCACTCGACCTGATATTGCCTATGCGGTAAATCAAGTAAGCCAATTTCTTCAGGCTCCTACTATAGATTGTTTTCAGGCAGTTAAAAGATTAATTCGTTACATCAAGGGTACTCTATTCTTCGGGTTAAGCTTTACTCGACCCGCCTCTACCAATCTTGTCGGTTATTCGGATGCAGACTGGGCTCGTTGCCTTGACACGCGTCGTTCGACGTATGGCTACTCGATATTCCTTGGGGGTAATCTTGTATCATGGAGCGCTAAGAAACAACCCACTGTTGCACGGTCTAGTTGTGAGTCTGAATATCGAGCTATGGCCAACACTGCTTCAGAAATCATTTGGCTAACTCATCTCCTACATGAACTTCATGCTCTACCGGATGGAAGATCGACTTTACTTTGTGATAATCAAAGTTCCTTGTTTCTATCTCAAAACCCGGTTTCTCACAAGCGTTCTAAACATATTGATCTAGATTACCATTTTATTCGTGAGTTAGTCACCTCTGGGAAACTTCACACTAAGTTTGTTCCAACCAAGCTCGAAGTCACGGACATCTTTATGAAAAGCTT